TTCTTGTAATTACACAAACTGTCTGACTTTTAGGTTTTTTGAACAAAAATACTTTTATGGCACTTGCTATGCCTACAATATAAGACAGAGCAGTAAAAGGATATAAATAAATAAAAAAAGGTTATTTTTGACTCGGACATAATCATGTTCATTTTATTGAACTGTTTTCTCTTTTCTTATAAAGGAGCCCCATCTAGAGACTGGCATTGCAAATTAGCCCAGGCTATGAATGTTTTAGTGTACGGTATTTGGTAATGCTATACACTTGTCCCTTTATAAATAAACAATAAATTAAATAAAGGCAAGTATGAAAATTATAAAGACATTATCAAAAACCATAGATTAATAACAATAGCAGGCCCTGTGGTGTGACCACAATAGAAAATCTGCTTATGTAAGAGTCAGAGAATAAGCCACACAGAGTTGTTAATTAAATACTTTTTTTGGTTGTTTTCTGGAAAATTCTCTCATTCAGCTGCAACATGCTACCTTTAGAAGTCTCTGCATCAAGTTGACAGCAAATCATTATGTCGTTTGTCCCCTAAGTGCATGAGGAAGGCCTTTAATTAAAATCTAAAAACAAATTAAATAGTTGTGGATTAAGAACATTGATCAAACTTTTTGTAAGAGGAGGATCAGTGGACTTATTTTATGTCACCTACAAGCATAAAGCCGCCAGCTGCTTCACCTTTTCCCTCAGAATGTTTCATTTATTTGTCCTTGTATCATAAACTTGCTCACATTTCAGACCTGCAGTTGTCTTCCTCTTAATAGCTCCATATAACACTTAAAAAAAAAAAACTTTCACGCCATCATAATGTGTCTGTACGACCGTTTCAAGGGCACTAGTGGTACATCAGAATAACAATCACATACATTATAGATAGCTAAAAGGAAAAATGTGTCATTCATTAAAAATGAAAACATCAAAATTCAGATTCTAAAGCACCAACTTTAGCATCTGAATCATCAGTTGCACCAAAGAAAACTTTATCATAGTTATAACACAGTTACCTGAGAAATGAGCAGAAGTATTAGCAATAATCAAAAGTCTGGTCATTTTTTAAAGTGATTTTCTGTCAAATTTTTATCAATAATTTGTACCTTTTGAGCAGTGACTTCAGTCACAGAACATGGAGTATGAAAAGACAGAAGGCTTCCTCCAACTTAGGCTGATGGTGCGCCAGTCGAGAGCCTGTTTAATATTGTTTTTCAGGCTTAAAAAACTACTCTTGCTCAGAAATGCCAAATTGCTGTGAAATAATGCTACATTAGCTAATATTAAACTTCTAAACTTTTGCATGACGGGCAGCACGGTGGCGCAACTGGTAGAGCTGCTGCCTCTCAGCGAGCAGGTCCTTGGTTCAAACCCCGGCCCAGGGGCCTTTCTGGGTGGAGTTTGCATGTTCTCTCCGTGCATGCGTGGGTTTTCTCCGGGTGCTCCGGTTTCCTCCCACAGACCAAAAACATGCATGTTAGGCTGATTGGTAACTCTAAATTGTCCCTAGGTGTGAGTGAGAGAGAGAATGGTTGTTTGTCTCATTTGTCTCTATGTGTCCCTGTGATGGACTTGCGACCCGTCCAGGGTGTACCCCGCCCCTCGCACAGTGATTGCTGGACATGGGCACCAGCGACCCCCGTGACCCAAAATGGAATAAGCGGGTAAAGATAATGGATGGATGGACTTTTGCATGACAATTTTTATTTACAGGGTTCCCATCAGCTCTGTAAATTACTCTGGAAAAAAACTGTAAAATGTATTTCACATTTTCCAGACAGAGAAAATTCAGGGGATTTTTAGAAAACTATCAAAAATCATGGAGGACTCAGGGAAGCTGAACACTAATCTTCCGATTAAAAGATGATCTTTTAAAGATTTTAATGTGTACATGTATTAAGTTATTCTAGTAAATATTCTAGTATCATTGAGTCCATTTACTGCTTCTACAGTATATCTAGTACATTAAATTCAATTCAGTTTATTTAAATAGTGCCAAGGTACAACAGAAGTCATCCGAGGGTACTGTACAGAAACATTAACATACATAAAAAGTAATTTAACAAAATTATTTATCTGAGGGGCAGACGGCTTTGAGTTTAACTTCATCGCAGACTCTCATCTTGTGCAAACTTAAAGGCAACAGTGGAATAGAAAAACTCCCTCATGAGGAAGAAACCTCCAGCAGAACCAGGCTCAGGTCAAGCGGCCATCTGCTTCGACCATGCATAATTATTGATTAGCTATTGTTTTCTTAGTAGCTAATGTTATGCAATATGATTATTAGAAATTATTGCCATATTCACATGCCGTAGGCTAAAGTATACGTTCTATAATCTCTGAATGTGACTCTGTTCACCACCTAAGACACTAAGTTCTGAGCATTTCGTGTGACTGAAATATCCCCTGGAATTTCAGGATTTATGCCGGATTTTATTTATTTATTTATTTTCATAAAAATGCTTTGAACCCTGTGTTTAATTTGTCAAAGTTTTCTCAACAAAACAACACCTAAGTTACCATATTAAGTTATGTGTTCTGTGCATATATTTCTCCATACTCCATATTCTGTGTCTGATGTCATGGCTCATTAGATAACTATTAACTTGTTGATGGGACATCATTTCTAAAATGAGCAGTTTAACACTTTAAACATACACTGCCTGGCCCAAAAAAAATTGCCACAAAAAAATGGGTCACGCACTAATATTTTGTTGGACCGCCTTTAGCTTTGATTACGGCATGCATTCTCTGTGGATTTGTTTCAATAAGCTTCTACAATGTCACAAGATCTATTTCCATCCAGTGTTGCATTAATTTTTCACCAAGATCTTGCACTGATAACTAGACACTAGGCATGATGATGGGTGCATCACTTCACCTGCCTCTCTTCTTACCCTGATGCACCCATCACTCTGGAACAGGGTAAATCTAGACTCATCAGACCACATGACCTTCTTCCATTGCTCCAGAGTCCAATCTTTATGCTCCCTAGCAAATTAAAGCCTTTTTTCCAGTTAGCCTCACTGATTAGTGGTTTTCTTAAGGCTGCACAGCTGTTCAGTCCCAATCCCTTGAGTTCCCTTCACATTGTGCATGTGGAAATGCTCTTACTTTCACTTTTAAACATAGCCCTGAGTGGTACTGTTGTTTTTCTTCCATTTGTTTTCACCAAACATTTAAGTGATCGCCGATCACTATCATTCAGGATCTTTTTCTGACCACATTTCTTCCTCAAAGACGATGGGCCCCCACTATCCTTTAAGTTTTTAATAATGTGTTGGACAGTTCTTAACCCAATTTTAGTAGTTTCTTCAATCTCCTTAAATGTTTTCTCTGCTTGATGCCAATGATTTGACCCTTCTCAAACAGACTGACATCTTTTCCACGACCACACAATGTGTCTTTTGACATGGTTGTTTAAGAAATGAGAAGCAACTCATTGCACCAGTTGGGGTTAAATTATTTGTTGCCAGCTGAAAGATAATCACCCATACAGTCATTATCCAATAGGAGGTTTGTACCTGCTTAGTTAAATCCAGGTGGCAACTTTTTATTTTGGCTAGGCAGTGTATTTTTCCACTTCATTTATTTTACTGGACCGATTTGACCAGAATTAGAAGAAAAGCTATGCTGTTTGGGGCAATTGTTGTAAGTAGAGTCTCCCAAGGCAGATTAGTTCTAGGTGACAGACCAGGCAATGAGCTATTCCAAAGACTCATATGGACAGACAAAATCAAAGAGCTTAGCATCTCTTGCCCGGATGTGGGTTACCAGGGTCCCACCCTGGAACCAGGCCTGGGGAAGGACTCATTGGCAAGCACCTGGTGACCAGGTCTCTACTCATGGGACTTGGTCAGACTCAGCCCAAATGAGTAACATGGGCTTGCCTTCCTATGGGCCCACCACCTGCAGGAGGGGCCACATGAGTCAAGTGCAAAGTGTCATGGATTGTAGCTGAAGATGGGGTCCTTGCGCTCTGACCCTAGTTTACCGAAGTTGACTTTTAGACCTGAAATATACCTCTCTCGTGGGAAGGAGCTTGAGCTTGTGTGTGAAATTGGTAGGTAATGGCTAGATATAGTTGGGCTCCAGAACCAATCTTCTTGAGAGGGGCTTGACCTTATTCCACTTTGTAGTTGCCAATGGTGAGAGGTGCCAAGCTTGTGTTTATCTACTATTAGCACCCCAGCTTGGTGCCTGTGTGTTGGAGATTTCCCCAGTAGATGAGAGGGTAGCTTCCCTGCAACTTCAGTCTGACCCGACTTGGGAACAAGCAGAAGAGGATGGATGGATGGAAGGATGGATGGAGTTGAATAGCATAACTGACAAAAGTCTACAGGAAGTTTATCAAACATTCCAACTTCAAACAATACCAAAAGATGTACCCTGTTAAAATGCGTTAATATTATTATTCTGCTTTGTCATTTCACTTTTTTCTTCACAACACTGTATACTTATCTTTTCTACGTACCTTGTTGTTTCTGACTTTTGTTTCTGAAGTTCAGCCATTTGATGCTTAAAATTCAAGCTGTGTTCTTTGCAAAACAAGACATAAGTAATTCCTTTTCTCTGTGTGTCTTTCTCCAGCTTTTTGATGGGATCGAGTGCGAGTTTCCCATGTTTTTCATCTACATGATGATTGACGGTAAGTCTCATTCTATCCATTGTTACAGTTATGATGACTCAGGAGGACAAGACATGCTTATAGCATTTGACAGAAGATTACATTTAGCTCTTTGCCAGGTTTTAAAGAAATGAAAGAGGCATGTCTAAAATATTTGATTTACATCATCTGAAGTTAAATTCATTAGAATGGACTGATATAATTCAAAGAGGTTTAACCCTAATGTAAGTCAAGCTTACATTAAATGTACCTGTTTAAACTTTATTGATATTTTTAATTGTAGCACAGCCTATTCAGTTTAAGTAATTGATGTAGACCAGAGGTCCCCAACCCTGGTCCTTGTGGCCCACTCTCCTGCATGTTTTAGCTCTTTCCTTGGCTCAACACACCGATTCAAATTTTTGAATATACTACTCAGTTTGACTTGAAGTAGTATACTCGGTATACTACTTCAAGTTTCTTGAAGATTAATCTTTCTCAAGGCACTTCTTGACTTCCTAAACCCAAATTCAGACCACACAGCTTTTGTGTTAAAAGTGCCAGCAGATTTTTAGATTGTGCAAACTGTATAATAGGCTTGTCTTAAGATCCAGAGTTCTGAGATTGTAGTACAGTACTTCACACTACATGACATTTTATTTTAATCTCTACAGCTGTCACATAGGCATTAGGCAGCCAAGTCTGTCCCTCCTCATCAACCTTACTGTTCAATTAGCTCCTCTTGTTTTTCTCACTTGGATGTTAAACACTCGGCATCACAGTTTGTTTCATTCAAGTCCGCCGCGATAGTGCAGGATGGAAACGCCACAGAAACTAGTGTTTTTGACCATTTTTATCCAAACTGGCCTGAGGCTTCAGGTTCTCCCAAGCCATTCCACTCCAACTGGCTTACGTTTTTATATCTGAGTCATTTGTCAGCAACCACCAAACTTGTTTGCAAAAGGAGATTGGTCCAAGAATATAGTAGATTGAGTCTAGATAAACTTACATAAACTTTTTTTTATAAGTTCTGCTCGAAAACTTGTTTTCTAAAAGATTTGGCATTTACTGAATACACCAAGTTTTTTTTTTTATGTGCAAAAGCCAGAATTACTTACAAGTCACTGTGACTGAAAGTGTTAAGAATGAAATCTTATCTAAATTTAATACAAAAACATTTACACTTTGATTTTATGGAGATCATCACTTTAGGATGAAACGGCAAAGGATACAAAATGAACTAGCAGTAGTGGGATCTTTTGATTTTTACTGCCTATACGAATACAAAGTACCTGCTTGGCAGAAGTGTTCCACGCATGCAAAGCAGATTCATGCCTTTAGAGAGTTTTCTACACACACACTCACACACACACACTGCTCATCAAGTTCACTGAAAAGTCAGCACAGTCACAACAAATTCAGATGTCTTCAAAGAGCCTTTTGTACGCCCCCTGATGTCGACTTTTAAGCTGCACATATACACGGATGCTGAAAGTCTGATATTAACTTTAGAGCAGGTCTTCAATTTCAAATGGAATGATTTAAATCTTGTGAACTTAGTATTTTTCCACACGAAAAGTTGTCATTGACCCGATGTGATTATGTGCTCACAACACGAATAATAAGTGCTTCCACACCCAGACACGTAAAGTATCAAATATACTAAGTGCTGGAATCAATGTCTGATAACTTCAGGACACACTCTGCTCCTTCACACACAGAGGAAATATAGAATATTTCGAAAGTCTTTGAAAACTATGAAAATTGTGTGTGTGTGTGTGTGTGTGTGTGTGTGTGTGTGTGT